GATGGATGGATGGATGCTTTAGACTGAACTGAGCTAGCTAGGAACTTTCTTAGACTATTGGTTCACTCAGCTCTAAAGTTGCATTTTACACAAATGTCTTTCAGCATCTTAGTTTGAAACACAAGGAAACATTAAAAACTTCAGATCTGATCTCATTTCTTTTCTGTTAGAAATTCCTCCATCTACCCAAAAAGACTTTTTAAGCCTCAGTAGAAGCTAGTTCATTACGGTTTTAGAATCATAACATGACCTTTGGGGTGTGAATATGAATCCTGCAGAGCTGAAAAGTCTTTCACAGGCAGCAGAGGCAGGCAGGGGTGTGTTGAGCTTCAGGTACAAATTGCTTTCTGCTTGGAAAATGACAGATTGTGAATAGTCTACAGTAATACAGCATTGAGGTGGAGTTAAAAACCTTACATAGGAGGGAACAAAAAATGTCTAAAAAGGGGGGCGATACTGGACCTAAATACCCAATAATAAAATGGAACTACCAAAACATCTACAAAAACACTTTATTAGACTGATCTCAGTTTTAGTAGCTTTTAAGGCGACGGTTGTCGCAGTGTTTTCTTCCTCACATTTTGGCATAGAAACATGGGTCAAACAAGCAGTATTATTTAAAAACCTTGTTATGACATCAGCAAATGTATTATTTCATGTTATATATTATATACTTAATACTATACCATAGTGTAAATTATATATCTTTAATACATTAATCTATATTCATGTATAATTTGAAGGCTATAAAGTGCTGAAATTAAAAACAGACAATTATATTTGCCGAAAAATTACTGTCAAACCTTTTTTTTTTAAGTTTAATTACATTGACCTCATGTAAATGAAATATTACATATAGAATTGGATTTTTAAATTTGTATTTTTACCTTCACAAGAGTTTTTTTTGTGACCCAGGAGAATGAAAATGAAAAATATTAACTAATTAAAACTATTAAGTAATTAACTAATTAAATTCGAGGTGTTTTGAACTTTAGTAACCCTCCAAATCTCCCAGCATCACAGCAACAGCAGCAAGCATCGGTGCAGCTGGGATACCTCAAGCTGGACTCGTCACCATGGTGATTGTGTTAACATCCGTTGGATTGCCCACTGATGACATCACCCTGATCATTGCAGTGGACTGGGCGCTGTAAGCCCTGCTTCTTATTATTTTTATTTTTACCTGTTGCCTTGCTTCTCATCCAGTTTTCCTTTCGTCTCCCTACAGAGACAGATTCAGAACGATGGTTAATGTTATGGGTGATGCTTTGGCCACAGGCATCATGGCCCACATCTGCAGGAAAGACTTCATGAAAGAAGGAGATGGGGTGTGTTCTCATTTATTTGTTCTGTAAAATCCATTTGTCTTTGTTTCATTCTGGCTTTCAAGATATTAATCAATGTATTTATTTGTTAGATCTTAAACGGCTTTATTTATTTAAATTAAATCAACACCAGTATGATTTCTAATCAACTCTTTACTGAATATTTATTTCTGATTTTCTTTTAAAGTGTCTTTTATGATGGTTGGACTTTTTATTACATTTAACTCCCCAAATGTGTTTTAATTAAAAAGGAAAAGGGCTGAAAACTGAGGCTTTAATGCTGTTTTGAAAACTTTTCTCTATCTTCTGCCCACAGGTACCTCTGGTGTGCGAGGCGGAAATCCCCGTGAATAATCCGCCGACAATGAACTGCCACAACAACAATGGGAACGTTCGGCCTCCCTCCTCAGGAGTCAAACACAAGCTCATCCCTCCTGACGTGGCTCGACTAATGCAGCTGGAGGAAGGTGTTCAGCAGATTTCAGACAAAAAGAAACCCCCGATTCCTCCAAGATACCTGAAGAAGAGCAAAGAACACTGCACTATCGACCTGAATGGCCTTGAGAGCATCGTATAGCCTCCAAGATAAACCTGATGTGATATTTGTGTGTTTGGACTGATGGGTGCCCAGACGCTTGTCGGGGCGTCTTTATTTTCTTTATGTTCTGCAGTACCAAATCTGAACATCTACAGTATCTCACAAAAAGGAAGTACACCCCTCATGTTGTTGTAAATGTTTTATTATTTGACGACACAAAAGGCACAACATGTTGATTCAGTGTAGTGTTTAGTTTGTATAACAGCGTAAAATTGCTGTCCTCTCAAAATAACTGCCAACAAAGTGAGTAAAACCTGAGTGTAAAAAGGCAAAATTGCTCAAAATATTGCTCAACATTCTGTCTGACCCCTGTTAGTTTAGCTCCATGACAACATCACAGCGAAGTTGGATGTTAGAGACCTTGTGCTTCACCACTTCCTGGTTCAGGATGCGCGTCAATTGGTTTAGGGTCTGGAAACATGGTTTTTCTGGCCATTTTGATTACCCTCAGCTTCTTAGAGTTGTGTTTTTGGGCCATTATAATGTTGGTTTACTGCTCAGTTGCCTAGTTTATAGGGAGGCAATCAGCTGGCAGACCTCATACGTTGCATCACATGCCAAGTCAAACTGAACAGCAGAAGAGAAAAATACATCTCAGAAAGTAGAAATACTGTTTATTTAACCATAAATAAAGGTGTATTCAGGTAAAGATGAGAAATTAGGTTAAAAAGAAAGAAAAAAATCACTGGCTGCTTTACAGAACTGTGGAAATGCATAAAAAACTGTGGGTTTATGCTTGACGCGTCATCTAAAATGGCACAATTTTTCAAAATTTAATTTGTAATTTTAGCAACCAACCCCCTCTGCATGGCCCGAATTACCCAAACCGCACACCAATCAACATTTTAACTACGCAACAGTCCCACGTGGAAATATCACTGCTGTCAACTAATTGTACCAAATCCTTGGAAATAAATTACTGTCACTCTTTTATGACTCAAAGAGGCATTCAAAGTTTGGAAACGACAGTTGCTTTGCTTCTGCATTTAGTATGTTGTTATGAGCTTCAATCCTGTGCTCTACACTGCCCTCTAGAATTTAGTACCATCCATCAACACACTTGTCCCGAGTGGCGTCGTGAGGGGTGCTGGTGCCTATCTCCAGCAATCAATAGGCAAGAGGCAGGGCAACACAGAGACAAACAAGACAAACAACCATTCACACTCACACCAAAGGAAAATTTAAATAAGCCAATTAACCTAACAGTCATGTTTTTTCGACTGTGGGAGGAAGCCGGAGTACCCAGAGAAACCCAGTTATGCACAGGGAGAATATGAAAACTCTGTGCAGAAAGACCCTGGGTCGGGAATAGAGCCCGGGACCTTCTTGCTGCAAGGCAGCAGTGCTACCCACTGCGCCATATTGGGTAAAGCAGGGAAAAGCCGCACGGGCTATAAAGGCTGGAACGCGCCAATATCTGACTTGAAATGTTTTACCTATTGTTTGTCCATGTTCGCTCCGCTTTGCTGTTCAGAGATTTTACTTTGTACTTTCCTAAAATATGTTTAAGTTCATCATTCGTCTCTCTTCCTATACTTTATAACTTAAGTCATTACCGCCAAATTGCTGCTTAGGTTCTGTTTGAATCTGGTCCTTTATTTAATGAGGGAATAATCACATAATACAAAAAAGAAAAAAAAAGTTATTCATTCCATTTAAATATAACAAAACTTTTGATGATGAGCAAATCATACAGAGTTCCCCTTAAATAAGCAGAATGATTGAGACACCCTGGCTTAGTTTTCACTCCTTTATACCCTAATAACACACCTCCACCAGATGCAACCAAAGATTGCAGTTTCCAGCATGCGCCTCCAGACCACAGCATGTCCATATGACATAAAATACAGTACAGCTTCCATCTAACAGTGTACTCAAATAACATTTCAAACATTCAGCTTTAACAAACCCAACCAAAATAGAGCAGAGGTGCAGCTCAGTTGGTGCGAGTCGTGTGTGGTCTGACCAACCCCATGCATTTGAATGAGATGTAACTGCTACTGATTCATATGATCCAATTTTGTGTCGGATCGGACTCTGAATTGTGCTTGGTGTGTTACATGCTGCAAACTCTGTTATATCAATGTTCCACATGTCTCATTGTGCAGCATTTCATTTTCTCCAGATTCCTAATGAGTTTGTTTGTTTTTTTTTGCCATAAAAAGACATTTTGACCTTCCAGCGCGTTTAGAGTGAGAGGTTGATGTGTGAAGTCAGGATTTTACCAAAAAGCCACATGCATGATAAATACTAATACTAGTACTCTTACTTAAAACACACATTTCGAACATTTTATGCATGCAGATTCTCTACCATGCCACTGCTCCACTTTCATTCACACCTGTGAACATGTGTCACATGACACTGTGGAAGGAAAATGGCCAACTGGGCCCAATCTGTGTTGCATTATTTTCAGGAGACAGCAAATTTACAATATATAAGCTTCACACTACTTTACGTTATCTTTAGTGTCGTCCCATGAAAAGATGTAATAAAGTATTTACAAGGTTATGAGTGGTTTACTCAGTTTTGTGTGACATCTATCTATATATCTATGAAATGTTTAAAAGTTAATGATGTTTTATAAACAAGACAGCATTAAATACAAATGACAAATATAACATAACTAAAGTCACAGATTATGTCATTTTTTCAAGATCAACATCATAAAATCATGAAACTTGTGACTTTACTGGTTCTTTAGCATTTTTACTTGAAAATGTTCATTTTCAAACATGGATTACATTTATTAATATGAACATCATTTAATACCCAGGGATCCTGAACAAAATTTTAGCCCTGAAATCCAACATGACATCTAATAAATATCCATGACATCCAAAAAATTACCACAAAGAATTTTAGAAATAAAAATGTACAGAAATAATGATGTGATTAAAAAATAAACAATATGTAAACCCTGTGTTCCATCATCACCCAGTTCTCTCTGAGAAGGTATGTTTCTCAGATAGTATACACAAAAAGGAAACATTTTTAAGCATTAACAGAATTTATTCCAGTCATTGTTAACAAAATCATCGATTTAAACACAAATTGCAGAGGAAGATCTCACCATCTTTGTCTCAGGCCTGCTTTCTTCTCAACCACAAGCTGAAGAATCATCAAAATGGCAAAGAGCTTCTACATGCTTTTCAGTTTATCCTAACCCTTTAAAGCCCCATCCAAGAAAAAAACAAAATAGAAAATTACTTTTTTTTTTGGTTTGAATTCCTTAGTTTCCCTTTTAACAAAATATGTAAAAAGAAAAAACAGAAATACATTTTTTATATTAATTTATTACTATGCGATAAGTCAAGATTATTTTTTGTGTAGTCTGCCCTCTATTATCAGGTATATCTGATTGTGTACAATAGGATTTTGAGCAAAGTTTTTACCATTAAATTATGCAAAAGGTGTCAGACGCAAAACATTTCAGAAACCGTATGTATCAAATACGATACATTTGTCATTACAGGGTTAAAAATCCAAAGCCCCCCAGTCAGCATCTCACAGCACCACAGCATTACCATATAAGGTGACGATGGAGCCTCTTTGAAAGTCCTCATATCTCAACATAACAATGTCCATTTAGCTGACTTACAAAGAAAGTAAACAGATATAACAGTTCTTTTAATGTGCAAAAAATAAAATAAAAGGAAATTAATCATCAACAGCTGTTAACACCACATTTTTGGAAAACAGGAAGCTTTTATTGTGTCTAGTACTCCAAAGCACGTCTTTCAAGCTGTTAAATTGCAAAGCTGTTAAGACCTTCCTCTCACATAAAAGTAATTTTATTCATCAATGTTTTGTGAATCAGGTTAATCCGTCTTAGATTAATATCAAAATGTCCTTTTTTTCACTTCAGCTGAGCTAAAGTGTGTTTTATTAATGGAAAATGTCTTGGTTATGGAAAATCAGGAAACATGCATAGTTTTTAAGCCTAATGGACAAAATTTAAATAAGAAAAATATTAGCATATTGCCTTTTTTCTCTTTTATTATTTTTTACATAAACTTTAAAAAAAAACATTATTAAAATTCTGTTTTGAATTAAATGTTTTAACTTATAGGGCATTCTTCAAATAGGCAGGAAGGATCTTCTATGGCGGTCTGTCTTACACAGATCTGGAGGCGCCTGTGACCAAAGACACTGTTGGTATTTAACAGCCAGGCATCTTTAACACCAACTCCACTGTAATAAGCAAACTGTTGTCCTGATAAGCAAACAGTAGGGAGTTTTGATTGCTGCTTGTTTGCTTGCTCAGATGGACCAATAGAAGTCTCTCAATGACCTGCATGTTGTTGGATTTCAGGGAAACAGATTCGTAGTCTTTAAGGATTGTGGACTGAGTCTTCTTTGGTACTGGAGAAAGGCAGTAGGTCTTCCACATCACTAGAAATGTCTCCTGGTTCAGACGACGCTTTAAGAGGTGCTATAAAATCCCACAGAGCTGCTCAGCCCTTTAGGACTTTGGGCCTGACACCATCAGCACCCGGTGACTGACAGGTGAAAGGGGCTGAGGAGGTGTGGTAAAGGCAGCAACATCATCTTAAGATGACATATGGTGCATTTTAGTTTCACAAGAATCTTTTGTCCAAGATCCATATTGAAGTATGCAGGATGTTTTAAGATTCAAATATTGAATTTATGAACCCTGAATAAAGCAAAAGAAAAACTAGACATTGACCAGGTAGTAATAGGTAAAACCAGATGGAAAACAGCATGACAACAGGTAAACTTTGTTCTGGAGTTTAGAATGGCTGCCCACTTACAAAGGGCAAGGAGTACTTGGCCGGGATATTTCAACACAAAGGGATAGAAGGCAGCAGGAACCTTGAGCAATGCTTGGATAGGTAAGTCCTAGAACACAATCATATAAGACACAAGAACAAAATTATTTGCCTTGGCCAGCATAAACACATGATATAACATTATTGGACAACAAGAACAGGCAGACTTCATTAAAAATGTGCATAAATGGACTTTCAGTAAAAACAGCACTTAAGAAAGACCCTTGAAAAGAAGTGACAGCAAACTGTTCATAAGAGAGGAGCCATTGAAGCTGAAGTTGAGTGACCCATCAAATGGGAAAAAAAACATTAAGGAAGAGAGAAAAAGGACCATTAAACTGCTGAAGGGTAAGAAGGGTGTCTGATAACATCAACAAAGCTGACATAGATGATGATTTACTCTCAGTTTGAAATGATATTGAAAAAGCAACAAGCATCACCAGCCTGGAAAGACAGCTGCTTCAAAAAGGTGTCCAGTAATTGGCAGATTAACAGCTGTGATAAGTAGAGGATGGGTTGTGTTTGCATCTGTTAGGATCTTTTACACAGTAATCTTGGTTTGGCTGAAATCCAAAATAGACTCATAGAGTCATGAGATCAAACTTCAGCACCTCACTTCAAAGCAGAGAAATACTTATAGTCCCCCACGCCTTTATTCTTCTCTTCCTTCTTCTTCTTCTTCTTGCACATACTTGACAGCACCAACGAAAACATTTGACTTTGACCTATTAGCAATATCAAACTTTACTAGGATGCATTAACCTGACAAAAACTAAAAGTCTTAGTTGAATTTAATTCAGTTTATTTATACAGTATAGCGCGAAACATAATCTCAAAGCACTTTACAGATCATTAACCAGATCATTCAGTCAGATTGGTCCAAAGGTTTCTAACGAAAACCTTCTGATCGCATCGACTCATCGACTCGACAGCAATCCCTCAAGCGCGTTTGTACTAACAGCCAGCTCCCGTGTCAGAGGATGAAAAAGAGCACATACAGTCACAGTCAGAGAAACAGGCAAAGCTATCTTTAAAAAAATAAAAAAAAGTTGTTGATGGCAGCAGCAGAGCTGATATTTCTCTCGGGGATGTTGTCCCAGGCAAACAGGAACAGAGCAGATGAAGCTACTATGACAAGAAAAAGAAAAAAATTTTGGGTCGAAATTGAATATATTAAAATTTTATATTAATTCAACTACTTTATTAAAATGTTATTTAATATAAATTTATTAATTTACTTCCATTTCTGGCCTTTTGGGAAATGGTTACCAGAATAACTACAGAATATTAAGAGAAAATCATTTGAATTATTTTTTTTTTTATAATTTATTGTTTTCTTTGAGTGAATGTAATACACTTTACATGACAATGCAATGCTTTTATGTGTAGAAGTACTGCTGTGTTTTATAGCAGAGTGAAGGTTACAGGATAAACATTTTATTTGAACAGAAAATGTTGGATATCTGTGTGCCAAACCGGCAGGGTGTTTTCTGTTTTTGTTTGGAGTATTTTGGCGGAGACGGAATGATAAGAATAATTGTGAGATGCAAAGCTCATTATTGATGAGTTAAAATAAATAAATCATGAAAACACCTTCTGATTTCAGATCAGAGCTTCAATACATTTTCCAATTCAATTCAAAATGCTTTCTACGGTTAAATCTTTAATCTTTAAAAAGGTGGTGCAGTGGTTAGCGCGCATGACACATGTACCG